TTGTCTTCCCTCTCTAATGAACATACCCCAAGAGAATAAAACTTGTTTTTCAAAGTGGGGAGGGGGGAATGAGAGGAAGAAAGGAAGGAAGGGAGGAAGGAAGGAAAAAGAAAAAAGAAAACAATGCCTATAATGGGTCTGGCTGGAACCCAATTCTCAAGGACATCGATTTGTAAATTCAAAGGTTTCCCCAAGATCAAAGATGCATACTTAACATATAGGATGCTCACTTTTAACCTGAGGGTTTGCTTTGTTTTGTTCTGGATAATTATCAAATTTAAAAATTTATGGTTTTTTTTTTTTTTTTTTTTTTTTTAAGAACTGGAAGGTTCTCTGTGTGCCAGACTTCCTAAAACAAAACAAAACCACTTAGTGGGATAAGGCATGTGAAAACACTTGGAAAATGAAGTTGTGCTACATGCAGTGTGTTCCTAAGTTTAAAATAAAACAAAAATTGGACCATCATTTTAGAATCAGGAGATAAACATTTGAGAAAGCAATAAGAGGTGAGAGGGCAGCGGTCAGAGCTCAGAGGGTGGTGGCCCCCATCTTGGCACACAGGAGAGGCCTCTGTCCCAGCTCTTCTGGTTGGCACTTGAACCAACAAAGGACCTCACGGGGCAGTGAGATGGGGAGGAGAGGATGCCCCAGCCTGGATTGTGAGCCTGCCTCTCCTCCCTGTATTCCTGTCCCGTCCAGCCAGCCTTACCCCTCAGCTGTGCCAGCCACACCCTCCTTGGCAGCGCTCCACCCCCTGCCTGGTAGAAGGATAATCACTTGCAACCTGATCCTCTCCTCTGTTCTGGACTAGGAGTTCCTAGAGGGCAAGGACCCCATTTGGTGCTTAGAGCTAAACTTGGCAAAGGTACTCATTTTTCTTTTCTTTTTTTTTCCTCCTCTCTCTCCCTTTCAATTTTTCTTTCTTTTTTCTTTCTTTTTTTTTCAGACAGAGTGTCATTCTTTTTGCCCAGGCCGGAGTGCAGTGGCACAATCTCAGCTCACCTGAGATTGAGCTCACCAGCTCAACCCCTGCCTCCCAGGTTCAAGCAATTCTCCTGTCTCAGCCTCCCAAGTAGCTGGGATTACAGGCATGTGCCACCATGCCTGGCTAATTTTGTATTTTTAGTAGAGACGAGGTTTCTCCATGTTGGTCAGGCTGGTCTCGAACTCCTGACCTCAGGTGATCTGCCCACCTTGGCCTCCCAAAGTGCTGGGACTACAGGCGTGAACCACCGTTCCCTTTCAAATTTTTAAATTTAACCTCTATTTACTTCCTTCCTTCTGTCTGTACCTTCTCTTTGTCTCTCTCTTTCAACAATAAACAACTGGCCAAAGGGAATTGGTTTTAATTTCTGAGTCGTTCACAAGGATCCCGGGATTTCAAAAGATCAGAGAAGGAAAAACAAAGGGAGAGAACCTCAATTCTTTCTCTGCTCTTCCCCACTAGCGAAAGGACTAAACAAGTGAAAGAACTGTGGAAGGACGATGGCAAACAGGGCAGAGCTCTAAGGAAACTGCCCTGTAGTGTGTGTTTGTGGAGCAGGGGGATTAATATGAAACTGCACACCACGATTCATGCCGTCTCAAAACTATCCATACACCTGAGTAAAGAACAGGGGGAGATCATGATCAAGAAAACCATAGCAGGGTGAGGGCAGGCTGGGGGGATTTCCTGTAATATTATGATGTCATTTTAACAATAAATACAACTAGAAGAAAAGGCGCCAGACCAAGTGTGGGATGTGGGTTCCATGTCCTGTGGGAAGCGAAAGTGGGCAGCTGGGCCCCAGTAGGGAGAGTTCTAAGAGGGTGTGGTTCCCTCTAAGGGAGGGATTTGTGCGTCTGGCGCGGGAAGAAGACCGACCAAGAAAGCCACCAAATAAACAGACCAAACCCCCAACCACCCCTCCCCTGAGAAAAGCACAGAATGGCTATATTGGTGTTAAAAGTAAGGTCCCCGGGACCCAAGACAGGATGAGAGCCCCAACCAAAACACCCTGTAAACACGGGGCTTTTTTTCCATTTGGGCATCCTACATTGCATCTAGAGAATTCCAAGATCCCACTTTCTGAGAGCAGACCCAGCCATTCTGAGCTCTCTGCTGACCTCTGGTGGGGAGGAGCTCCAGTGGCCCAGGAAAGGTTGGAAAGAGGCAGTCACCTGCCTGGGCCTCCCCTGCTCCCCATGGTCTACAGGGTCACCTGCCCTCAGCCACCACTCAGGGCTAGAAGTCAGGAACTGTGAGGAGAAGAAAGTGTAAGAAAAGCTTCAAAGAATCCTCAGAAGAATATGGGCATAAGAGAATAATGTTGTAGGAAAGTTATCAACTAAAAGAAAAATGTTTAAATAGGTGGGTGGGAGGGACGTTTACCTTCAATCAACTGTTTGTATTCAGTTTCCTTAACTTTACAATTTTAAGAGTAAGGGGAGAGAGAATGTGTATATGAATGGGATATGGAGGGTAAATTTGATCGGAAAGAAATAAATTCCCATTGGAGGACTTTGTAGGCCCTTGTGTGGGAGGCCTGTGTGGCCCTTCTCAAATAGATGACCTCATCATTTTCCAGCTGCTGGATGGGGTGGTGGGGGGCAGAAATGGCAGGGAATGGCAACAGCACCTGTTCTTGGAACCAAGGAATTTGGCCGGACACCATCAGACCCAGCTTGCCCTTCAGTGGAAACGAGGCCTAAAGAAGCCAGAAGTGGCCTGCCCCAAGGCAGTGCTGAGCCTGAGATGGACAGTAGGGGTCCCATCCTTAGAGAGGACGCCTTCGCTAGTGAGAATGCCCTGCTGTATGTACCGTGAAGCACTGAGAAGTGGAGAGGGGTTGAGGAGGGGAAGAACTTAAAACTAGCCCTGAGGTCTCAGAGATCCTGAAAAACTCAATGATGCTTGCATGAATGGAAAAGCAACGATTTATCCCTAGCAAGTCCCTTCTCTGTGAACAATCATTGACCATGCACCTCAAATTCTACTCCATCTCCCCATATTGTCTTAAATGCTAACTTCTCCAGGTAGGCCCCTTGGATTTCCCTGGTGGAAACGAGCTCTGCTCATCTATGAACCTCTTGTCTAGCTCTTGATTGAGGTGTGAAAGAGTTTTTACCACCAAACTCTGCTCCTGCAAAGATTCTCCCGGCGATGGGGACCCAGAAACTATTAATTATTTACCAAAGGACAACAGAGGGCCCTACCATTTGATTTCCTATACAGTCTTCCATTTTGGAACAGACATTTAAAAAAGTGTGTGTTGGATAGGGTGTTGGCATACCTCATCTATTTAAACTATATCAGATAATTAAATAAGTTTTAAAGTGAGAAAAACCTCCCTCCTGTTTTTTCAGTTAAGAAAAACTAGAACCAGGGATTTGTCCAGGATCTCAGGACCCGTTCCCAGGAGAACCGGGGCACCAGGGCTATGAATCTAGAGGTTACCTGATCCTGTTCTTTCCTGTCCTGGCTAAGATCTTCAGATCCACTAGTTAAAAGTGGCCGGGATTTGTCCTTAGATGTCAATTGCTCAACTGTAAACTTTTAAAAACATTCCTCAGCCTTAGGGGCAGGGGCTGTGTCCCTGAGAAGGAGGATTTAGGGAGGGGGATGCGGGTTCTGCCTTAGGCGCAGACACAAGAGTGAATTTTTGAAAGCCAGGCTGTCAATAGTAAAAGCCGAGCGCCCTCTGCCAGCCGGTTCTGAGCGGCCTTGCTTTCTTCCATTGTTTCCACTTCCCAGCCCTGAATAATTCGTGTTCTCATTTATTTCCCTCCAAAAAAAGGTGGTTCCTGCTCAGAAAGCCCCCCCAAAATAAGAACCCTATTTAAAAATAAATCTCAGAAGAAAGTGAGTGAGGAAAAAAAAGGAAAAGTGAGAAAGAAATTCGAGAATTCCTTAGGAGGCTGCTTTCCGCTCTCCCCTTTCTGGGTTGTGAAACTTCTGAGAAGATGAGAGATGAGCCCCCTTTCTCCAACTAAGGCAGCCCTAATGATCTTCCTCCTTCTTTCTGACCTCCCACCTTCTTCTGGCAGAGCAGATGCCCCATTCTGAGCCTGCCTTAACATCTGATCAGGCCCTAACTCTGGGGAATCAAGATTGTAGAGCCAGAAGAAAAAAAAACAACAAAAAAGGCCAGCCACGGTGGTTCATGCCTGTAATCCCAGAACTTTGGGAGGCCAAGGCAGGCGGATCACCTGAAGTTAGGAGTTCTAGACCAGCCTGGCCAACATGGTGAAACCCCATCTCTACTAAAAAGAAAAATATTAGACCGGGCACAGTGGCTCACGCCTGTAATCCCAGCACTTTGGGAGGAGGCCAAGGCAGGCGGATCACCTGAGATCAGGAGTTCGAGACCAGCCTGACCAACATGGAGAACCCCATCTCTACTAAAAATACAAAATTAGCTATGTGTGGTAGCATGTGCCTGTAGTCCCAGCTACTCAGGAAGTTGAGGCAGGAGAATTGCTTGAACCTGGGAGGTAGAGTTTGCAATGAGCCAGGATCATGGCACTTCACTCCAGCGTGGGTGACAGAGCAAGATTCCATCTCAAAAAAAGAAAAGAAAAGAAACAGAGAGGCATCCACTGTGTGCTATCTGTTAGCTTAAGTCTGAGACTGAGATGCCTGGAGGCATTTTGGATTCATCCCTGGCACCTGAGTCCAAGTCTCAATCTCAAGCCTCCTTTCTCAAGCTGTCCCTGTCCTGCTCCCATCTTGGGTCTTGACTTCCTCATACATAAAGCTGAACACAGAGATATCCTCTGCTTCTTCCCTGACAACCCATCAAATTTAAGGTGCTCTCCTGACCATGGCAGGACCCCAGGAATACTTGGCAGAATCATTCCCAAATGGGGCCTTGTCAATACTTTCAAGAATCAAACGTCAGCCTTTTCCCGATGTCAACTTAGCAAATTCATGGAATCCTAGAATAAAGTTCTAGAATCAACCAAGGTCCCAGGAATGAGAGCTCCCAACTTCTAACCCAGTGCTGTTTGTACTATTCTAGGATCCTCCCAAAGAGCTGGAGCTCCTCTGCCCACAGCCTGCCCCATCAGATCAGACCTACAGTAGAAGACACCGAGGAGTAAACACTGTATGCTCACAAACACCAAACTGCCCTAGGATGAACGATTTCGTAAGAGCGCTCCAGAATGACTGGATCCCATCAGGAACATTTCCAAGGACTCCCACTCAGAAAGGAGAACCCTCCTAAACCCCAACCCCACCCTGGCCATTTGTTTTGCAAAACAAAATGATCTAATGTGCTTTCCCTTTAGTGGCTAAAACTGCTTAATTATAAATAGCTAGAAGTTTTCTGGCAATCCAACTTTACAAAATTTTCCCCTAACGTCTGGCATTTGTTTTTGGGTTCTGCCCTGAGTCTTCTAAGCATTTGCTTGGAAAGCTGTTGCACTTTCCCAGGCAAAATGTCAAAATCAACATTCAAAAAGCTTGCCTTAAGTAATTTCTAGGATTCTGCACTAAGGAGGTTTTATAGTTAGGGGGCACTTTGCTTAGCTGAACTTGTGACAAAAAGCTAGTCTTCAGACAAGTTTTGATTTCAAATGATATTTTAAATTTTACACGTTTGATATATAATTTGTCAAACTACCAATATATTTCTACACCTTCCCCTAAAGAAATCCTAATGGTAAAAGCTAAAGTGTTAAAATACACGTACATGTCTGGAAGGGAGAGTGGTCATTGTCTATCTATTTATTTACTTTTCTGGCCTTTGCAATGAACTCAGAGGTCACAAATTCGAAACTCCCTAAGGCGGGGGGGGGGAGAAAAAAATCTCCTTTGTTGGAAAAAATTAGATCCCTAATGATTCTGTTTCAGTTATTACAATCAGATGTTTCAATTAAAAAACTTGATGAGCTGAATTCAGATGTTACAATCTGAAAACTCTATAGAAAGACCAAATGGGGGCAAAAATGTAAATGTGTTATGTCAAAATATAACAAAGAAGTTATAAAGTCCCCTTCCATAATGGTTACTTGAGAGAGGCTGGTCAGATGCAAGTTAGGGACTTAGACCACTGTTTAAAATTCAGATCACAATTTAGTCCTGTTATGATTATTTCAAGAAATATAGTTACAGAGTCTGCCCTAGGATGGAGAAGGGGGTGTCCACTTTATCAAAGACCAAGCACAAGACTCTTGACCAGGAAATGTCCTTGGATTGTTACTTTTATTGGCATAGCTATGTTTCATTCCTGAGAGATCTTATGCTCTTTCTCAGTCCAGTCATTCAGAGCCGTTCCTTCCACTGCCCCTCTCTCCTGCAATCGAACTTTGTGCCTTGAAAGACCAGTTGCTAAAGGTCATAGGTTACCTCCATGCAGTAGGCTAGTTCCCTATGGGCCTGGGACTAGGGAGACCCAGTAACTGGGGCCCACACACTGCTTGCTGGTGGGTACACATTATCAGTTAAAGACTCTGCTGCTGTTTTGGGGAACACATATAAAGTGAGGCTCCTGCCACCCTAGAGCTGCTACATTGTCAGCAGCCATCTGACAGATGGGTCCTTCATGTCTTGGCATCCTTCTCTACAATGCAGAGTGAATTAATTGAGTGTGCACCAGTCAGAGAGAGAGTTCCTAGCCTGCTACAGGAAAAGGCATCCTGAAGAACCCCTGAGTGGAAGATGAGATCATTTCAGGGTAAAGGCTATTTAAGCACTGATTTAGCCTAGCTATGGGACTGACTTGGTTAATCAAAGTCCACTCACTGTTTACTTCCCTGAAATAATTTCCTTTTCTATTCTAGTTAGGGTCATCTGGGTCACTTTCTTCTCTGAGATTTCTAGAAATTACTTCTGCAGGGTTGGATGCGGTGGCTCATGCCTGTAATCCCAGCTACTAGGGAGGCTGAGGCAGGAGAGTTGCTTGAACTCAGGAGGCAGAGATTGCAGTCATCGGAGATCATGCCATTGCACTTCTGCCTGGGCAACAAGAGTGAAACTCCATCTCAAAAAAAAAAAAAGTAACTGCAGTGGACAAACTTTTCTCTGGGAAAAAAAAATATGTATTTTATATTATATATAATATATATGATATATATGACATATCACATGTATGATATATAATATGTAATCATATACAATCATGTATATATAATGATATATACATATATGATATATATGATATAATATGTAATCATATAATATATAATCAACCTCCTTAGTGAAGAATCCTCGAAATTACCCAAGGCAATTATATATATTATATATCATATATATAATCATATAATGTATTATCATATATGTGATATATTATATATATTTTTTATATATATATATTTTGAGATGGAGTTTTGTTCTTGTTGCCCAAACTGGAGTACAATGGTGCCATCTCGGCTCACTGCAACCTCTGCCTCCCAAGTTCAAGCAATTCTCCTGCCTCAGCCTCCCGAGTAGCTGGTATTATAGGCGCCCGCCACCACGCCCAGCTAATTTTTTGTATTCTTAGTAGAGATGAGGTTTCACCATGTTGGCCAGGCTGGTCTCGAACTCTTAACCTCAGGTGATCTGCCCACGTTGGCCTCCCAAAGTGCTAGGATTACAGGCATGAACCACCGCACCTGGCCCCGATATATATATTTTTAAGATACGCAAGTTACAGTATGTATGATCTTGAACTTTCCCCAGAATTTGAAACTGATGATGTTAGGGCAGTAGTTATCAATGAGGGGTGACGTTTTGCAATGACTAGAAACAGTTTTGGTTGTCAGAGAGAGAGAGAGAGAGAGAGAGAGTGTGTGTATGTGTGTGTGTGTGTGTCTGGTATGTAGCAGTCAGGGATGCTGCTACACATCCCACAGTGCAGAGGACAGCCCCCCCATGACAAAATGTCAACGAAGCCACTTGGAGGACCCCTCTGTTAGACTGAGCCCCCCAAAATGCTTCTAAAATCCTAGGATATAGCTAACTAGGAGAATTCACAGCCTAAAAGTAAAACGCTGGTCTGGCTAAAGCTTTGGGGCCTATTTGAGTCGAAGCTCTGTCGTGAGGTAGGGGGTGGCAGTAAAAGTCAAGGGGACCCTTCTTCGCCTTTGCTGGCCCTGGCCATCCCTCTCACTTTCACATAGACATGCCACCTGTTTTCTGCCTTATACTGTCTCACCATCTAGTGGTCACCTGAAATATCAATTCATCTTCACCATCTTTGGGCCCTTCTAGAGCCAGTCATTTAAAAATTCCCATGTTGGGGGCCAGTGGGCAAAAGGAACCCCCTGAATGACGTCAACGATTTAATTAATAAGTTAGTTCAGCATTTGAAGGCCTAGCAGAGCCACAGAAAGAGCAGCTATAAGGAAATAGGATGGACACTTCCTAAGATTTCAAAAGCCCATGAAGGCCAAAGAAAAATCAAGGGACTGATTATAAATAAGTCCTGTCTTTTGAAAAGAGAAACCCACAGGGCTTTCTGCTTAAGTCCCCCAGACACAGATGTTACATAACCATAGATTTTAAAAAAGTATCTATTTAAAAGGATGCGTTCAAGTGGTCTCAGTAATGTAAGTGCCTATATAGTTCCTAAATAACACTATCTATTCTTGACAGGTTTCCTGTTTTCATTTTTTTTTTCAGTTGGACCACCAGCTACTACAACTCTAGAAAAGTGGAGGCACAGATATGTGGGTCCCCGAGCCCTGGGGGAGCTGGAATGGATACTTGCTAAAACACGGGACATGAGATTCTCTTTCCTTTGGAAGGGTCCTGTCGTGGCCCTTCTTGGGTTCTGGACTATCTTACAGTGTCTGACTTTGGTTTCTGTGGATCATGATAAGCATTACTCTTTTTTTCCCCCTCAAATATCCCACAGCTTCAAACTTACCTGAATGCAGGTTCCCCGTAAAAATACCATCATGTAATTTTCACGTTAGCAATCAGTTTGATGAACAGCAAAATTGTTCAAATGGGAAAGAGGAGAGAGATAATATGGTCTTTTGATGGAAGGGGAGAGGCAAGAGCCAGCTAAATCAGAAGAGAGAGGCTCTTGCAGCCCAAGCCTTAATTTCCTTGTAAGAATCGATGCTCACTCAGTGGTGACACTGAGCATGTGAAAGCTCAACTGTGACACTCCTTAGAAAGTAGTACAGGGATTTTTTTTCCTTCCCATTATCAACTCATTAAAGGAAGTTAAAAGTACTTACTCTGTCCCACACACAGTGTGTGTGTGACAATGTCGGAAACATTGACTGACTCATAATAAATTTGAGATTGGATAACAATTTATACTACCTTTATACCTCTCTCCTCGCCCCAAATTGAATCATTAAAAAACATTTAGTAAGATCGAATGTGCAGTTCTGTGGGCAGAACTCCACAAGTCAAAATATTCCTGAATTTAAATACTCCTGAGGTTTAACAAATTACTCTGCAATGCAATTTGGGATTTTTCTCTAAGGAAGTACAACAGAGGCACACTCCCTTAATTTCCATTGCTCCGTCACAGATCAGTTGCCTAACATTCTTCCCTTAGCGTAGCTCCCAGTTGTTGCATGTAGAAAAGCACTCCACTGATTCTAACTTGAAAGGTGTGTGCCTCATGTGTGCTCAGAGAGCATGTGACAATCGACATAATGAAAAATCAAACATCGTTTTGTTGTGTTGCTCCCTACCTCTTTCTTGGAGGTCTCTTCATCTTCAGTTCCCATGGGCTGGCCTGGTTCACCATCTGGCTGTTGGAAAGGAAACTAAACACATTTTCTTTTCTTCTTTTCTTTTCTTTTTTTGATGTGTAATAACCGTAGAACAATCCAAGCTCAGGTCCTTGAGCTCAGCCTCGGTATTGAGTTGATTTGTAGTTAGGAGCTAATCAAAACAGAAGGGGCAGCTGGATAGGCAGGGGTGACAGGTGACACTTTTACAGGATAAGTCAAAAAGTACGTTATCTCCTCATCTCTCTCTGGCACATCATTCACCTGAGAGTGACTTCACACAATTATAAATGTGGCAAGGTGGCATTCGTCTACTGCTTGGATTGATCTTTGTTTACAGAATGTAAACAAAGAACGTACTCTGACAGGTGGAGACAGAAAGACGGAATGAGGTGCCCGGCACTTTTAGAACTTACACGTTAATAGTCTAATGGGAAATGCAAAAAACAGAAAAACAAACAAACAAAAACCCAGCAACAACACAGGGCTTTCTGCTTAAATCCCCCGGACACGGATGTTACACAGCCATAGATTTTTAAAAAGGTATCTATTTAAAAGAAAGCAAACCAAACCCCAAACCTCACTTGCAGCAGGGGAAAAAAAAATCTAGGAGGAAAAGTAAATTTCTAAAATTAAAAGTTGAGGCTTGGTATGGTGGCTCACACCTGTAATCTCAGCACTTTGGGAGGCCAAGGCGGGTAGATCACCTGAGGTCAGGAGTTCAAGACCAGCCTGGCCAACGTGGTGAAATCCCATCTCTACTAAAAAATACAAAAGTTAGCTGGTCATGGTGGCAGGCACCTGTAATCCCAGCTACTGGGGAGGCTGAGACAGGAGAATCACTTGGACCCAGGAGGCGGAGGTTGCAGTGCACCGAGATCATGCCACTGTACTCCAACTTGGGTGACAGAGTGGGACCCTGTCTCAAAAAACAACAACAAAAAACCCCCAAGAAACCCAAAACATTTTTGGGGTACTGATATGTGCCAAGCACTGGGTTGAGCATGTTACCCTTTAAAAAAGACTCTAGATTTCTCAAATGTAACTTTGCTCCTAGTAGCTGGCCCTCTTTTGGGGGGAATTAAGAAAAAAAGTCCAGGCGCGGTGGCTCACACCTGTAATCCCAGCACTTTGGAAAGCCGAGGCTGGCAGATCATCTACAGTCAGGAGTTCGAGACCAGCCTGACAAACACAGTGAAACCCTGTCTCTACTAAAAATACAAAATTAGTGGGGTGTGGTGGCACATGCCTGTAATCCCAGCTACTCGGGAGGCTGAGGCAGGAGAATTGCTTGAACCCGGGAGGCGGAGGTTGCAGTGAGCCAACATGGCGCCATTGCACCCCAGCCTGGGCAACAAGAGCAAAACTCCATCTCAAAAAAAAAAAAAAAAGAGGATATAGCCTCTTTTTGAAATACCTCTCCTCTCCTTTGTTCAGGGGCTTCTTTCCCCCTGAGACCCCCATGGCCAATTTGTATTCTTGCCTTCCTTCCGGTCTCTAAATTGCGTAAAGGCCACTTAGGACTTGCAGACTCTTCAGCAGAACTCCCAAAGAGAGGCTCAGGTCCATTCTCTTCTTCCTTCCTAAAGAGAACATGATCTTATGCTTAGGGTGACCACAGGCCAGAACAGGAATCTGATGGGAAAAAAAGCTCCATTCAGTCTAATTTAATGAAATCTGTGAAGGTGTGTGTTAGGGCCAGAGTCTCCTAGTCCCTATTCTAAGGGGTCAGAGATGGTCGATCAGGCTGACCAATACTCTTAGTTCCCTCCAATGATTTGTTTTAATTGATGGTGGGGACCTCGTGACATCAATTGGCCCTGTTCCTTCTGTCTTGAAAATTGCTACTCGTCCTGAGAAATTTGATTTTTAAATGGGCAAATGGCATGAGTGGGTTTGAGAGGAACCTCACATTTGCTACTATAGGTAAAAGAAACCAAGAAGTATAGAAACGAATTGTTGTTCACTACTGATGTGTCTCCTGAGAGTTACTTTATTTAGAGGCATTTGAAGAGCCACACTTTTGCTGGGGGTTGGGCGTAAGTTTTATTTGGAGGAAAAACTAACTCTAAAAAGAAGAAGGAGCATGGCTGGCATTGGGAATTTCAAATCTAGGTTACCTTCTCTAAAAATAAATTTATTTTTTGCTTAATACTAACCTTCCTGGCCGGGTGCAGTGGCTCATGCCTGTAATCCCAGCCCTTTGGGAGGCAAAGGTGGGCCAATCACCTGAGGTCAGGATTTCCAGACCAGCCTGGCCAACACGGTGAAACCCCGTCTATACTAAAAATACAAAAAATTATCCAGGTGTGGTGGCGCATGTCTGTAATCCCAGCTATTTGAGAGGCTGAGGCAGGAGAATCGCTTGGACCTGGGAGGCAGAGGTTGCAGTGAGCCAAGATAGTGCCACTGCACTCCAGCCTGGTGTGCAGAGTGAGACTCCATCTTAAAAACAACAACAACAACAACTAACTTTCCTGCATAAAAGTCCAAGATGATTTCTAAGACCATACACTGACTCTTGCTAAATAGAAATTAGCCTGGACTAGAAGTAAGACATACTTAAAAAAAAAAAAAAAATCACTAGGAAGACTATGGAGCAGAGTTATTTTAATAAGATCATGAGATCCAGACCAGGATTCTAAACATTCTAACACTATACTTATAATAGAGCTATGCAGAAAAGTAACTGCATTTTATTATTATAATGATTAATTATTACTTAGTGGAAACCTAAATAAGAAGAAAAGCTTTAGACCCTGCTAAAAAACAAACAAAAAACAAAACAAAACAAAATTTCAAGAAAACCTGCATAAAAAATAAACAAACAAAAAAAAACTTTAAAGAAAACCTGCATTAAAAAAAAAAAAGGAAACAGTGGCCCAACAAACTAAGGCTGCAATGTTGCAGTGCTGGCAGATGAGTTAAAGCAAATGGGGAAATGAAATATCACCATAGCAATGACAACCATCTCAGAAATGGGGGAGCTCACATTTCATGTACACTTAATGGACATTTATAAGCAGGGATCTGTGAGTTTGGCTATAATTCAGAAAGTAGCAGACCACTCGACACGTGTCATTTGGCAAGGGATTTTAAGAGCACATAGTATACTTAGAATAATCGTGCTTTACATTTAAATAATGCTTTATAGCTTACCATCACATTTCTGGTAAGCATTATCTTATCTGAATTTGAAATTTGAGATCCTTTACCTACTTAGCAGTCTTTGACTAAAAGTGCCTGAAGGCTGGGCGCGATGCCTTGTGCCTGTAATCCCAGAACTCTGGGAGGCTGAGGCGGGTGGATCACAAGGTCAGGAGTTTGAGACCAGCCTGACCAACATGGTGAAACCC